GGGGGGGAGAAGCCGCACAGGTGTGCCGACTGCAGCAGGTGCTTCAGCCAGAGCTTCCAAGCTCAGCGTCCACACGGGCGAGAAGCCCTACTTGTGCCCCGACTGCGGGAAGAGGTTCAGCCAGCGGGCACACCTGGCCCGGCACCGCCGCGCCCACACCGGGGAGAAAGAAGCCCTACAGGTGTGCCCAGTGCGGCACCTGCTTCGGTGACAACTCCACCCTCGTCCGCCGCCGCCGCCGCGCCCACACCGGGGAGAAAGAAGCCCTACAGGTGTGCCCAGTGCGGCACCTGCTTCGGTGACAACTCCACCCTCGTCCGCCACCGCCGCGCTCACACCGGGGAGAAGCCTTTCCAGTGCCCGCGCTGCGGGAAGAGCTTCAGCCGCAGCTCCTACCTGGTCTCGCACCAGCGGGTGCACCTGTGGGAGGCCAGGGCTGATCCTGGGTGCAGCTTCTGAGCCAGGCCTGTCCAGAATGTGCCCAAGGGACGGAGGCGTGTAAAAGGATACAACCACACCTCGATCCCTGGATGACGGGCAGCTGGCCAGAGTGATTCCTCTGGCCCATTCTGGTCACTTCCTTCTCCCAGTGACCATCAGGCATGGACAGAAAGTGAGCAGGTGGGTAGCTCTGCATCACAAGGCCCTGTCATCATCTTTTCCTGGCACTAGGTTCGGATACCGCCTGCCACGTGGCCAAGGTGCAGATACTTTCTCCCACCTCCCTGTAAGTGATGTCTGCCTGGGAGCCTGAGGAGAGAAAGCACAATATTGGGACACATGATGATGAATTGCTTGGTCACGCAAACACATGCGTGTGTGGTCATTTCAAGGGAAGTAAGATGGGAGATGGAGTCCTTGAGGGGCTTTTTTCCACACGCATCTGAAGTGCTGTGACCCATATAATAGTATGCAGGTCTATGGAAGCTCGCCGTGCTTGCGATCTAAGCCACCTCTGTGTCTCATCTGGAAGATCAAGGCTGGTCTTCCTAAGAAGCTGGAGGCTCTGTGTTATGCATGTACAGCATTTGGGCCAACTTGAAGCACAGGAAAAGACCATGGGAGCCTTCTTGTGAAAGGAACACGTAGGCATACCCTGAACCGGAGAAGAAAGGCATGCCTGCAGAGATTTTCTGCAAGTGCTGCTTGGATGGTAGGGACAAGGGAGCTGTGGGAGAGGGACATGGCCTGTTCTGGAGTATCAGAACTGGTGGGTAACTGATGCAGAAAACCATCATACCTGAAAGCTTAGAAAAAATAATAATCAGAATGGTACTTGCTGCTATTGAGACTCTGGTGCGCAACCAGACGAGTGTGTGGAGGTTGCCTGTGAGTTTGTACTGGTGGCTTCCTCTTTGCAGCATTTGGGTTCACAGACATGGTTCACAGTCTGCTGGTGTGAGCAGTGTCACAACACAGGACAGAGCAACAATGTACTAGGACCGACTTGATTCCATACCAGTATTTCTCGAGTCCCATTTTGACCAGGGCGTACATGTGTGTAAATAACATCTACGTGTATGCATTCACATGTGTACAGACTAGCTTTTGTGCCAAGTGTATCATCTTCACAATCAGATGTGAGCAGTCATGCATGCACACACCACAGCCGTGACCAAAAGGGTCAGCTGTGTGACACTCCACCATATCAGTGCTCTCCACAATGCTGAACATACCAGCATTTCTCAAGAGCTGGGAGAGGTAGGTTTTGTACCAAAACATCTGAATTTTCACATCAGGGCATTCAGTTTTTCACTGATTACTTTGTGTGTGTGCATAAAACCTGGAATTAAGTTGGTTTATTTATGTATCTCTCTAACGTGTGGCACCTATTGGTTGCAAGGAATGACTTCTAAATGTCACTCAGCAGAGTGCTCTCCTCCTTGTTTTACACGGGTACATATCAGTGGCAGTTGCAGGATGTATCCCCCTCATTATTTTAACTACAGGGAGTTGCAGTGCAACACTTCACATTGTATTTTTTACTGTTTTGCTGCTCATCATTTCACAGATGGTACTGGCTGGTGTGCTTACCCAGCACTGCTGGAACTTAGAAAAGATTTCTGGGTTTGTGATATACCTTACTGATCTTGCAAATGGCTTTATGGCTTCAGTAGGTCTTTGGAAAAAGGAATGGAGAGTGAAGCCAGTGAAAGGACTGGAACTGTGGTGGGCAAGAGATGAAGGAAATTAAGATGCAAAGAAGATCCGTGGATTTGAGCAGCTGCTGGTCAGGAATTGTGAATAGTTTGCTCTACAGAACTTGCTACTCACCAAGGGATTGCAGGGATCCCTTCTTCAATCCACAAGCCATTTCTTTACACTTGACTGCTCATAAAGTGTTATTTTCATATCGTTTAATAAAAAGGAGCTGTATGGGGAGCACAAAATGGTTTACAGCTCCTAGAGGAACAAGGCACCTTTATGTGCAGCTGCTCAGGGAAGTAGAAGGAGCTTTCAGAAATGGGGTGAGCTTTGTTGACACAGGAACCAAAGCCTCCGTTTGCAAATGCACATTTTTGCTCTTAGTTTTGCTTTTGGGTGTGGTGAATTTTTTGGGGGAATTTTTTGTTTGTTGTGGGTTTTTTGTTGTTGTTGTTTGGCTTTGGCCTTTTATGGACAGCTTCAAACCAAGGACTTCTTGATTTCTACTTCACTTCAGGAACGTGGTTTGGAAACGTGACTAACGATCATCTAGTTGGTTCCAGAAGTGTCAAGATTTTCATTTTCTAACAGACCTGCAGAAGGGACACTAGAGCCCTCAGTTGGTAGGCTCATTTTTAGCTGAACTGATAGGTTATGCTGTGGTCCATCTGTAGAACTGATCAGTTGGTGTAGGTCTGCCCCATTCCAGTGTAAGTTACCTAAAGGAAATCCACAGCATTAGACCAGTCTGTTTGGCTGAAGAAGGCCTGTTTACCAGGGAAAGGCATCTTATGAATGCACCTTTTCTCTTGGCAATCTGAATGGAGTTGCTGTAGCAGATCCATGAAATCTTAACCCAGGTCTAAACACAGCTGAACCCAAAAGTAAAGCCTCTCACATCAACCTGCTCTGAGAAGCCAGCTGCCCTTGAATATGCCTTCCCAGCAGTCCTGAGAGCATTCTTTTACTTTTGACATGCTTTGTGAAGTGCTGTGTATGCTTAACAGTGCTCTATCAATTAAAAGGATTGCCGTGCATCGATTTGTAAGATCTTTATGAACTTCTTTAAAACTGTATGCCAAATTAAAGTGGCCTGAGGGTACACAGCATATTGCCAGTGCCATAGTCTTAGTGGCTAGGATTGGATGGCTGGCCAGTGTAAGCACGTTTCTGGAGTTCCTTTCCACAACCACTCTTAGTTCTGTTTGGTGTCACTTGGCTGAAATAATTCGCTTCCCCTAGCCTGCTTGCCTTTTACTGTTATTATCTAGCTGGAGAGGAGAATATGGGCACCACTCTTCCTCTGCTGTTGCAGGCAATGCTCCTCCTCTTCCAGGGATTTAATTGCTTTGTGGGCAGCATAAACTCACAAGCCAAATTCAGAAGACAAAGGTATGAGCATGTGTAAAAAGTCAAGAACCAGCAGGTTTTCTGGCTTCTCTACCTGCTCTCTCCTCCCTCAGGACCATAGTGGGAGACTACTGGAAAAAGCCAAAGGTAATTAGCTACTATCATTCCAGCAGACCATCCCTAGCACACTCCATCCCAGATCCGTGGTGACCAGCTGGTGCCCAGATCCTCCTGCCAGCTGAAGGAGCTCTGAACAGTACTGTAAATTCCTGTTGTGCTAATGGTGCTTAGATACTACAGTGAGACCATGGCACTTTAGAAACACCCAAGCTAAACAAATGGGTGAATTATGTCTCTGAAATACCTTTTTGTTCACCCTAGTGTTCTTCATTATCCCTTCTTTTTTTCTTTCTCTCGGAGTGAGCTCCTGAGCATCAGTTTCTTGGTCCCTGGCAGGACCAGATTTGGAAATGTGTTATCCTTCAGAGAGGGATGATTATTACTACTTAGTAGTAGTAGCAGTCGTAGTATTTGCACGTAAGAATCCAGAGGTGAGGGTTTATCTTAGAATATCTTCATTTTAATCTGATGTTTTTTGCATTAATCTGAAAATCCTGAGTATGACACACAGTGCTCACTCTTCCTTTATGAGAGAAAGTGGCAGAACCTTATTCTGCTGTGACACATCATCCTGCAGGTAGGTGAATCTGGTTCTGGCAGAGCTGCAGCTGCTCTAAAGTTATCTTCCCAGTTCTGTCCACCTGGGTTGTATAGGGCCCAGTTTTTCAATCCCTTACTGAAATAATACATGTAATAGTGATGACTGGGGTTGGAGTAGATGATCTTTAAAGGTCCCTTCCAACCCAATGCATTCTATGCCTCAAATACAACTTGTTTTATGTTCCTCTTTGCTTCCTTGTTTATAACTGGGAAAACAAATTTAGTTTGATCTTGGACAAAAGGTATGTTTTTACATGTTTAATACATTTTTTAAAGTATTTTATGTGTAATTTCTAAAGCACTTTTTGGAGATAAACAAAGTGCCCCTGCATGCACAGCAGACTTCTTTCAGGCTGTGTTCCCCCTTTACCCCAACAACACTGGTCTGAATATCCAGAGACACAACAGCAAGAGCCCACATCTCTTAAAAAAAAGGGAAATACAGGATATTTCAAGAAATGGAACAAAAAGAGGCCAAAATAGTAATTGCTGAAGTAGTCTGCTCTGCTGCTTATGCCCACTTGTCCCAAGCTCTGCAGGGCCTTTAGCTTTCCCATGCCAAACCTGATAAATCTCACAAGTAGGCTGATCCACCTTTTAACTATTCCCTCCCTCTGCTCATTCAAGTCCTTGCTGACTTTCTTAGTAGAAAAATCCGTTAACAAAAGTCCTTAACAAAAGGGTTATCTGCTGTAAAATTATCTTTATTGTTAAATTATCTTTATGTTAAATTATCTTTCTTGTTAAATTTCTGCTAAATCAAAGTTTAATGACTAGATTTGTTGGGGAAGTGGTGGGGTTTTTTTTTATCTACTTATATAATCTAATGAAGCACGATGGATTTACAGAGTGTGTGTGACAAATTAACTCCTGTGTCTATTGTACCACATAGAAAAATCACAGAATGGCTGTCCTAAAGTTTCTGGTGGGTCAGGACTTGCTCCTAAAAAGAAATATCTGCTCATTGATACTGGGAACACTCCATGAGGCTTTTAAATGAGACCCTCCCACAGAGCCCCATAGTCTCCCAGACTCACTGCTTGTTTCTTGAAGGCCAAACTTCAATCTTTTTGCATTTTCCCCCTCTTCCTGTTACTACAGTTTATTCCAGACTGCAAGGTTCTGGTATCTTTTATCTTAGAGAGGTACCTGCAAGTTCACTGCCACAGGGTTTTGGGGTTGGGTGGGCAGAAAGGATGACAGTGATAATTTGATTTCTTGCTTAATACAAGGCAAGGAACTTCTAGTAGTTCTTTCTTCAACCCCAGCTGCTGGTCTGCTACTGCTCTGAGAATTGCCTGAGTGACAAACATAGGGTGAATATTTTTAATATCTTTGATTTTATGGTGTTTTTTGGTTCATCCTTCTGTTAGCCATTTTACTCCAGCATCACCATTGGACCTTATGTTCTGCTGATACTCATCATGGGTTTTGAAGTCTCTTTCTGCATCTGTACTTCCTGTGATAAATTATTCTGTAAGGGTGGTTTACAATCACCAAAAATCAAATCCTTTGCATTTGAGAAATTAACTTTATTATTCTTCCTTGAAAAACAAGAAAACCCTCAAAACCAGGGAGCCTGCCAAGCTTCAAAACACATCTACAATTTACTACCAAAATCAAAAAGCATGGAGTAAAAACAAATATAGTGAACCGTGCTTTAATCCTAATCTTGAAACTCCTTTGATACTTTTCCAGTTATTCTAACATTAACTTTTTTTTAGTGTTTTTAAGTAGTGTTCTTGGCATCCTCAGTTATTCAAATAGCCATAATATGTATAGCCATGCTTGTGTAGTTTCTTAGTTTCCCTGGGAATTTGGTGAGCCTTTTTTGTCCTGGAAAGCTGAAATTTGGGCTGTATGCAATGAAAAAAATGGTGAAAACATGCAATAAATAATAGAATCATAGAATGGTTTGGGTTGGAAGGGACCTTAAAGACCATCTAGTTCCAACCCCCCTGCATGGGCAGGGACACCTCCCACTAGATCAGGTTGCTCCAAGCACCATCCAACCTGCCCTTGAACACTTCCAGGGATGGGGCTTCCTTCCACAGCATCTCTGGGCAGCCTGTTCCAGTGTGTCACCACCCGCACAGTGAAGAATTTCTTCCTTACATCTAATCTGAATCTACCCTATTTCAGCTTAAAACCATTCCCCCTTGTCCTGTCACTAGAAACCCTTGTAAAAAGCCCCACCCCAGCTTTCCTGCAGCTCCTTCAGGTTCTGGAAGGCAGCTATAAAGTCTCCCCAGAGCTTTCTCTTCTCCAGGCTGAACAGCCCCAACTCTTAGCCATAGGAGAGGTGCTCCAGTCCTCTGATCATCTTCATGGCCCTGAACTCATGCTGGAGGTTATTATATATGAAAGTGCTTTTCATCTGAGGGAATTGCATTAATGTTACTCTGGACTGGAACCTATTTGTGGTAGGAAATCCTATTTAATTTTGTATTTGTACAGTACCAAAGTACAGTTGTGTTTTGGCCCAGTACACAGTCACTAAGAAGCTAGTGCAATATAAATATAGTACAACAGTAGATCTCTACCTGCTGTTTTTTCTCATAGATTTCAGCTAAAATTAACCACTGAATTTTAAGAGGGGAAAAAGTATTTTTGCCATAACTTCTTCCTTTTATGAAAGAAAAACTGTACATAATGTTAAAGCTGGTAAATTTGTTATCCTCTAGTGACCCAACAGAGATGCCACTGAGATCCTAGGCACTTACACATTCCAAATAGCACTGCCCTGCTGAAGTGGAAAAGCAACCTGTTCAGCTTTTCATCAGGAAAGACGGAACAACAGGTTTTTTCCTCTCTATTTCTTTTACTTTTTAATAAGTTTAATATAAAATGTTTAATTTAAAATTAAGTTTCCTCACTGGCCATAATTATTTGCAGGTTGCTTCTTAGATCAGTTTTCTGGCAGGTCAGTCATGGTCCCTACTTGAACACTTAACTGCTTTTCTTCTCCCCTAAGTGGGTTTTTGCCTTTCAGAAAGAAAGAAGGAACTGTAAGGGAAGGAAAGGCTCCTCCAGAGGAAAGAAGGGTTGTCAGCAAAATTTACTCTCCCTCTAAACCTCTGTCTGGAGAGTGAGGTCAGCTGGCACCTACTGGGAGAAATCCTTCATTTTTTCTCTGAAGATGAGGCAGTAAGAGTTGTGGTCAGTGGCATTTAACTCTATGAGCCTTTATGAGCAAAATAAAATTATATTTTCTATTTTAAGCTATATTTTTGGAGGAATGCAATTGTATTTAACTCTCAGGTATAATTACAAACAAAGTTTTTACAGCAAGTTTTTTTTTTCTCATGTTTTTTTTCTAACAATTTTTTTTTGTACTTTATCATCTTTGACAAACTGTAACCACCTTTTGGAAAGAAACAGCTGTCAAAAGCAAACAATATGCTGTTATAATATGCTTGTGGAGAATGCTTGGTTTCCACATTTGAATGGAAAGATGCAGCCCACCTTGCTCACTGAGCTCTTGGTCTGTGTGCAAATGGCCTGGAAATGAAGGTCAGAGTCAAGGAACTGAGGATAAAACAGGGAAGCACCACTGTGAGGCAACTGAAAGGATGGAAAAGGTCAGCTTGTCAAAAAAAACTGCAGGTGAATCTCAGTACTCCAAGAATGTGGGAAAGGAAGAAGCAGAGGTGCAGAGAGTTGCTTTTCCTGCCTGTCTCTGCTCCCAGCCTGCAGCACTTGCACGTCCATGACACACCGCCCATCCATGCTTGTCTGGGAGGAAGCATGTGCTGCTGGGGACGTGTGACCAGTTCTCAGGGCTGGTAGGAAGGGGATGGAGCACAGCACCCAGCTCGGGTTGGTGATGCCTTCCTGCATGGTTCCTCACCCAGAGCTCATGCCTTTGATGATGCCTTCCTGCATGATTCCTCACCCACAGCTCGTCCCTGCTGGGGAGGACACCCGAGGGCAGGGAGAGAAGCGGGGGTGCCCGAGGAGATGTGTTGCTGGGTGGTTGGTGTCTGAAGCTCTGTGTGAAAGGGTGACCACCACATCTCTTGTTTTTGAGCTCTTTGAGTTTCAGAGCCCTCTCAAGCCTGCATGTTCTTCTCAACAGGGCAGGGCTTTGTCTTTGCCTTCCTTCCTTTCTCGCCTTGACAAGTTTCACCCCACCAGGCATGAAAGCCTGTGGAGCAAAGCTAGCACTTCTACCAGTCCCTTCTCAAAGGGGGAGCCAAGCTGTGCCAGCGATGAGTAAAGCAGCCCCCTTCTCACAGAGACCCCACGGGGAGGCTGGATGAGCCCACAGAGTCAATGTGGCCTGAGGGCGAGGTACCACAGAGCACCCAACTCCCACCATGGCTCAGCAAGGAAAAGCGCTGCCATAATTTTAGGGGCTGCCAACACTGAGGGGCAAATCCAAAGGCTGCCTGGCAGCCCTTCCCTGCTGCCCAGACTCGAGCTCCCCACCGGCTGCC